TAAAGCTATATATATATATCTATAAATATATATATTCTGTCTCAAATCGAGAGGTCGTATTGCGTAGGTTGCGTTAATATATTTATATATGTATTATGTATTTATATTTCTACTCATTATGAAAGATTTGTTGTGTCTAGCCTCCACTAATAGCGTGTTTCTATGTTTTACAGCTAATAATAAAAAGGTGGGCCGTATTTATATTTATATGAGCCACTGTTTAAGTAAGGAATAATTGACGACGGGCCGTTGAATTATTAGAAAAATAATGCACACCCGAGGTGTAACGGCCACTCCGCTTCGCGTCGTGGCCGCATTACCACCTCGGGTGTGCATTATTTTTCTAATAATTCAACGGCCCGTCGTCAATTATTCCTTACTTAAACAGTGGCTCACCTTCTATTAAGTGTCATATGAACAGACACCTTTTTATTATTAGCTGTAAAACATAGAAACACGCTATTAGTGGAGGCTAGACACAAAAAATCTTTCATAATGAGTAGAAATATAAATACATAGCCCTACCACTTGACATGATGTCGCAGCAAGTCATCTTGACTTGCTGCGACGTACGCTTTCCACTACTATTGCATTTGAAATCGGATCAGTTATTGTTAACATTAGGTTTCATTATGAGTAACATATAGCAGCATATAATAGGTGACTTCTGAATTGTGTCGCATCTGTTAGCCTCTGTAATTATTAACAGTATTTCAATTCTTTTCAGAAAACACTTCATTGTCTAATACTCGGTCGTGAGATATTTTAGACCACGTTTTATGACCATGAAAATATACGTATGCATTTTCTTCGTTGTCAATACGTTGCCAACAAGCCTGCCTGCTTTTGTTGGCTGCAGTGGTATTGGACTTTCTTTACAGGGTTGATTTAAACTCCTCATAACCCTGCATAATTAGCATGCAGTCTTCCTCCGTGAAACATACATGTATGGAGATCGCACTATGCGTCAAACGGTGCCTTGCGTTGCCGAACATGCTCCATATATGTGAACGCGCACAAACTCCAATGCAGTTAACACCGATTTAACTGGCGTCATAGTACTGATTAGCCCCGATGATTTTGTCAACCTCGCGTTCGCAAATTAACTCGGGGTTAAGTCTGATTTGGTTAAACCCCCTTCGTAGTACAGGCCACTGAAGTTAAACTCTAAAGCCCTGAGCCCCGTACGTTTGATTGTACGCGTGTGCGTAAAAAAATATTTACTGAAAAACCGTGCTTATTAAAATAACTAATGCTTTATTCTGTCAAAGTTTTAAAATATGTTTTTGATGCTTGATGCTGCTTACTATAGTTCCTATATGGACATACTCCCCGGAGTCAGCGACAGCACGTTCATGTTAAAGAGAATTATTTCTAGATTAAAACTAGTGGCATGGCGGCTTTTAACCATCCCTGCTTTTGGGTTAATGTCGTACGCTCATTTTAACAAGGATTACCAGCATTATTCCTTGATTCTTGTTGTCAAAAATGTTTAGGGCACTTTATTATTCAAATTGGCAGAAAAGTGCTTCATTACTTTAAAAAACGTCATGGTTAAGGGGACTTATTTGAAATAGCGTGTGCTCCGTTTATTGCTACCATTTTGAAATGGGGTGTCTTACGAATCATTATTCTTTGTTTAATGCATGGTTTCGTGTAAACATCGGCGACGGTTTATGACTACACCATATGTCTAATAGCCTGGGAGTGGATAATTCTACCCCATGTTTAATAACTTGTGAACGGATGACCAGTCTATCTCAAACTCAGTGGCCTGTTTGATTCTACCCCCATGTTTCCTCCGGCAGGTGCGAACTTCCGTGCATGTTCGCTGTGATATGCTTAGCAGTTTTATTCATTTGATTAAGCAAAGGTAGATGACTAGCTAAATGTCGCTAAACAACCCAAGGTGTGGTGTTAGAGATCGACTTATATTTAAATTAGAAATATGTTATTTTATACCATTTACAAATAAGTCAGATTAACAAATAGAGTTAATGCGCATTCTGTCAGGATTGCGGCGTGCTTTCACAATTAAGGGCCATGGCTAGCCTCAGGCT